ACAACAGTAGAGAGCATGTGCCCTGGTTCTCAGTTGACTTGAAGGGGCTGGCGGGGGGCGGGTCTTTTGGTTGTCCCCGCGCGCCCGCGGCCCGCCCCCCCCCGCCCCCGCACCACCTGCCTGAAACGCTCCTTTGCCGCACGGTCAAGAAGGTTGGTGCGCAATAGCTGCTCCTGGGTTCTTTGGAGGAGACACGATCTTTCATATTGCCGTCAGACCAAAATTAGTGAAAGCATATGACCAGCACCTGGCTTCACGGAGGGAAGTATTTAAGATGGTTTGTGATGGCACGGCAGTCGTTGTAATTTGTACAATACTAAAACTTTGACTTTATGGTCGAATCTCCCAAACATATGGCAGGTCCCGTTCTAGGCTAATTGACGTACGCAACTAGCTTCACCTGCTTTTGGTCGACCATGTCGCGTGGTTTTGGGGACAAAATGTTCGTGGTCTGCTTGTAACTGGGGCCTAGCACGCTCGGATAGGGCATCGTCCATAGCATACACCATACTAAGGCAGTATCCTCCCGTGTCTCTTAGACAAACCAAAAGGTTCAAGTGCTTTCACCGTTATGAGAAATACAGGTTATCTACCCAAATCTCAGGGGGATGATACAGGCAGATCTTAAAGAAGGATAATGGGCCAGCCTCCCTCTTTCGAGGTCAAAACCCTGAACTGCCTCAACCTACCCCTTCGGGATTTCAGTATGAAGCTTGTGCAGCTTCATAGAAGGGAAGACTAAAACTCTCGATTCTCTTTGATTTCTGGGGGAGGTGGCAAATAAACTACATAGTGCCCTTATGCTGAAGATGTCCTATCCTGCCAGGGATGGTTATGGCAAAGGTCCGGAAAGACACCTACCCCACACTGCAAGCCCTAGGAGTGTCCGGTGAATGAAGGGACCTATGGACCTAGGTTACCGAGCCCACTGGACGAAGAACCGTGGCCTGAAGAGAACCAGAAGGCGGAAGGAGGAGAGTATACAGATGCGCGCTTACCTTTTGACTTTAATGGTTACTTCGCTGCAAACCGGGAGAAACAGTTCTCTTACTGTGGGCTTTCCCCGAGAACCATTTTCGCTGCCGAGGTTCTGGGCCTAAGAAGATAGCCTGTCCTGGGTTAGAAATAATGTGCCATGGTTCTGAGTGTTCTGGGGTAGTAAGCCGTTCCGCGAACAGTAACTGAATTGGAACAGAAGACCTTCAATGCAGTCCCCGGAGTCTCTTGTGACGCGGTTTGCAGTCATTCAGGGAGGACACGTGATTGGGAACTCAAGACCTGCTGAGCGTAATCAAGGGTCATATACGAAGGGCTCTTCACCAACTGGTACGCGTGTCGAGGAGCCGACGCGTCGCTGCTGATAAACCCCTCCCGAGTCCAAAGCATTAAGAGTCCAATAATATGGTAATAAACGTCCTGTATTCGAGGTCCTGAGTCTGCCCCGAGTCTGAAATCGAGTCAACATCCCAGTTCCAGTTCTGAGTCCGTTCTGTGTCGGATCTAGAAGATCCAGATTTCAAATTTTGATGTAATTTCTTTTTGAACAGACGATTCCGTCATATTGAATAAAGGCTGCTTTAAGCATTATTGACTCCTCCTGCGTGTCTATCTTTCCCAAGCATTTCCCAATGCAAAAATAATTCAAATAAAATGAAAATAAAAATGGTAAAAAGAAAAAATAATAATTGGCAAAGAAGAAAACATGAACTACATACACTTGCGGATCTGACCTGTATGAACAGGGAATATGTCAGTGAATTGTTTGAAGAAGTTTGGTCGATTTTTTCTATGTGGAAGGCAAGTGACATAACGCGCCGAATTGACCCAGGACGGGGCTAGATAGTGTGCGCAGATTGGCAGTATACTGGCTGAGGTTCAAAGCCGCCCGGTAAAACACGAAGCTACAGGAAGGCTAAAAACAGAAAGTGGGTTCCTTGAAAATCAAGGGAGGAAGTGGGCCAGGGCAACTGGAAAATAAGTTCATATCCAATAGAGATAGAAACCTCATGGGGTGCCTACTTCGAACGTTGGCTAGCAAACATAGTTGGTTCGTTCCTAAGACAGGATGGAAAAGTCAGAATGTGGTGTGGATTATCCTGGGATTTTGATAAAAGCCATCGTCCGTTATGATCGACTTCCCCTCTGCCTACATATTTGAGCTTGCTGGTAGAACCGAAATGGGCTTGGGGACACTGAGATGGGGTCTCCTTAACTGATCTTGCCGTGTCGGGTGTACTAATCAAAAGTACAATGATGCATTTTGCCAGACAAAGAGGAAGAACGCATTCATCACAGAGTGTGTCGGAACACTATTGTGCTAACATCGGAGGGTCATTTCCTTTTTGGCCTAAAAATGCCCGGGGCAACCTATCAAAGAATGGCAACGACATCTTCCATGACATGATTCATAAGAAGTTGAGCGTGTAGTGGACGATAATGGTTGTTAAATCCAACGAACAACTGAAGAAACACACAACAGCATACTTTGAGAGTTCTTCCTTAGACTTCGACAGTACATTTAAAGCTCAACCCGGCAAATGTCTGTGTTGAGCTACAATCGGAGTAATTTCTGGGGCATAATGGTCATCAATGAAGGGCATAGAAGTATTGACCCCTTCAAAGCCAAACCATTCTGGAAATGCCAGCACCAAAGACGGGGAAAAAGGAAGTTCGGGGTTTCTTGGGAAGACTACAGTACATGTCCAATGCCGGTTATTAACGGGTGGCATTGGGCCGATACTTGTTGGCTCCGATTTTTCAAATACTACTGTGGCCGAAATAATGGTGAGTAGCTGTCACGGTGGGTAATGAGGGATGGTCCAGCAAGTGCTTTCGAGCCGACACGTCAGCAATATATGTTATTCCCGCTCAGTTTTAAAACATGCCACCATAGGAGGCTAAGGAAAGCCTTTGCTATTGTAGGGTCCTATCAGTTACCAGAAGAGAAAGCGATGGGCGCAATGTTAGCTGCAACAAGCCAGAAGACATACCAGGAGGGTAGAAACATCGCCGTGTATTAACCTCAGCAAAGGATCTTTGAATTATGAGTTAAAATACAATAAATAGAGAAGTTTGTTTTTGGCTCTAGTCTGGGCCTGTACAGGAAGCTTGCAGCACTAACCTCTGGTCTATACCATCAGTTAAGTTATTTCTTGAACTTCGAAACCCGCTTGCCAAACATTCGGCTTATGGAGAGGCCCGGTTCTTGGGACGAGTGGACAGATGCTAAGGGTGGGTGTCTGGGTGCGCTGCGCTAGCTCTGATCGTAGGTTTAAAGATTTGGGTGCTAAACGGAGTGCAGTCGAAAGGTGGAGCTTTGGCTGATCAATTAACAAATTCCGGTTCGATTCGAACTAGATCCATAATGCCGGAGGTGATTTTCCTGATGAAGACTATGTTGAGCTTTGGAGAGTGAGTCTGGGCATGTAGCCTTCGATTGGAGCTTTCAAACTACCATGGAATGGGTTGGAGTCGTATTCAAAACTTCTTGTGGAGAATACGTCCCAATCGCAGTCAAATTAGATTTCGACTGCACCAACAATGAAGCCGGTAATGAAGCTTCATTAAAGGGGTTAGAAGCAGCCCTGGAAGGAAATCAAAAGTCCTCAAGGTTTTCGGAGATTCCCAATCTAATAGTCCCTTCCAAGCTTTTGGAGAAAATAAGGAAAATTAAGGAAGAAGCAATTTGGTTCTTACCTACAACGCTTGGGACGAATTGGCTCAGCAATTTTGAGGATTTATCCTTTCCACTACTTGCCAGCGAGCCAAAAATCAGTTTGCTGATGCTCTAGCTACTATTGGCTCCATGGTTAATGAGGGGGAGACCAAGTGGATTCGATCTTGACAGTGCGGCTACAGAAAATAGCCAGCACATGTCATAGATTTGGTAGATGAAAGCCTTGGTATTTGGGATAATACAGAATTATCTTCAGAATGAAGCCTACCCGAGGGATGCCATGACTGATCAACGGACATTGAGACAGTTAGCATCCGGATATTTCCTTACCGGGGGAGTTCTGTATAAGAGAAGTTGGAATGGCCTACACCTAAGGTGCGTCGATGAGGGAGAAGCTCAAACCATCATGGATTCCTTATATAATGGGGAGTCCGGTCCACACATGCACGGGGTAGCCTTGGCTCGGAAAATCATGAACCTAGGTTATTACTGGACAACCATGAATGCAGATTGTGTGAGGCACACGCAGAAGTGCCATGAGTGTCAAATTTTCGCTAAGCTGCAAAGACAGCCTCCGGTCAATTTGAATCACAGCCTCCCGGTCAAATTTGAATCCTTCACCATGGCCTTTCGCAACTTGGGGCATAGATGTGATCGGAAAGATCCACCCGAAGGCTTCCAATGGTCATCAATCCATCCTGGTTGCTGTGGATTATTTCACTAAGTGGATTGAGGTAGCCTCATATTCGGTCTTGAATGCCAAGAAGGCAGCACAGTTCATCCGTACTAACATCCTTTGTCGGTACGAAACAGCATTCGAGATCATTACTGATAACGGATCCCACTTTCAGAGCGAATTTTCGCATTTGTTGAAGGAAAAGAAAATCCAGCATCATAAGTCCTCACCCTACCGTCCACAAACAAATGGGGCTGTAGTACATACATAAACAAATGTGGGGCTGTGGGGATAGGCCCTACGCAAAATCAAGGCCTATATAAAGGTCATTTTGCAAAAAGACAGTGATCAAATAAAGCTTATTAAAGCTTGGGCACGAACAGTTTACCGGTTGGAAATGTCCGGTTAGTGGGGTACAGGAAACTTTGGGCTAACTCAGTTAACACCTACCGGGGCGAACCCGGATATTCCCTTAGTATAGTGGTAGTGGAGCAGTATTGCTATTGAGCTGTAAGTTCAGGTCGGCAAGGATTTATCCGGGAAAGCCAGATTACGTGTCGAAGCAGCATTGGGACTGAGAACGTATCGGACTTGCCAACTCTTGGGTTGGATGAAAAGCGATTGCGAGCATCACCAAACTCAAGTTTACCAGAGGGAAAGAATTGGCACGGATTTTATTAATAGAAGAGGGGTCAAGGAGACCGGAAAAACTGGAAGAAGGCTATTTGGTCCTGAAGGAATTAGACCGCCAATCATGGACCCACGTGGGAAGGTTTTGCAAGTCTCTCATTGGGTCTCGTACTCGGCTTACGTGTTAGGCGGGAAAAATATTTGTCCGGCGGAGCCGAGTCATCTTGACTGATTCTGGATGTTTGGAATTCACGTAATCCAGTGTAGAACTATGTAGATCAGTTAAGAAAAGATATGTGTTTGTATAAACAAGCAATTGACGATGATGTAGGAAAGAGCTACATTAGACTTGATTCTCCTCGAAAAAAAAAGAAATTATATATCGGAGATATGTAGGCAGCCCTCATTGGGCGCGGTCTAAACATTAATAAAAACATCGTTTCATAATTCTTTCCTCTTTGCCTATGATAAAAAAAAAGAAGGAAGAAAAGAAAAGAAAAAAAGAAAAGAGAGAGAAAAAAAGAGAAAACCCGCTAAGTTGAAAACCCGAAAGGGCGGCTTAGGCAAAAGTTGGGGCCCGTTAAGTCGAAAACCCGAAAAGGGCAGCTTAGGCAAAAATGGGTAGCTCGCTAAGTCGAAAACCCGAAAAGGGCAGCTTAGGCAAAAATTAGGGGCAAAATTAATGAGCTTGTTAATAAATAAAAGTCTGAAAAATGCTTCGGAACAGTCTTTACAAAATCAACATGACATTTCCAATTACAAGCAATAAAAGTCAAGCAAAAGAGTCTATAAAAGTCCAAGTGCCAATTCCAAAAAGAAAAAGAAACATACTCCAGAATTCCCAAGTCCCAATAAAAGTAAAATAAAGGGAAAGACACACAAAAAGTCCGAGTCAGAAAAAAACACCATCTCTAAGTGTCCGTCGCCTACGTGGGGCAACATCCTTGAGTCATCCCTAGCTGCTTGAACTCTCTCCAACCTCGCCTGTCCGGGGAGCCAACCACAATCTCACTCATCAGTCCCAACCTCACTTGTCCCAGCGTCAGTCTGAACCCAACCTTCAAGTGCACTCCCAGCAGTAACGGTCCTTCTTGGCCTCTCAACCGGCAGATAACGGCAATGATACCAAGCTCGATACTCAGGAGAAGGTCTGAACACCTGGCAGGATTAGGTAAAGGCCTAACATGTGATGGTCTCTAAAGCCCCAGCCCTAAGGACGGCTCGGGTACACCCGAGTAAATGGCCGAATCAGCTGAAAGTCATCCACAATTTGGGATACGTCTGGTCTATCGCCATATGCCTCAAAACGCGCCGAAGCGCAGTACCAAGTACAATTGTGTAAGGCCTAAAAGGAAACTCGAGTATGGCGAGAGCTAAACCCTGGATGAAGCGGGTGGTCATATCCAGGATAAACCAGAGCACCTCATTTGGATCCCAACTCACCCAACTCAATCAGCCATGAGGTCCATGCGTCAGTAGAAGGATGTGTGATCAAGATTCTCCGCATACGATACTGAGAGGGATTGTAAGGAAAGGAGGTAGGAGCAGCAACCACTTGAAGGTGGTCCTTTAACCAAACCTAAGTAATGGATCCTTTCTATTACAAAGGAATAAACTAAAAGAAAGAAGAAAAAAAATAATAATAAAAAGGAAAAGGAGAAGTACCTGGAGAATAGCCGGAGAGACTGTCCAGTCATCAAAGCCTAAAGCAGCCCTGTCAAGGCTCCTGATAGTCTCTGCCAGCACAATGCCGCGCTACCAATAGGGCCAGGGGCCAAATTATTTGTGACAGACCCATAATTCCTCCATTTGGGCTGATACCCATGGGGGACGCGAGAGAGCGCGAAATCCCCAAGAACTGGCGTTCCTGGGTTAAATAAGAGCCAGCATAGTAAGGCAAAAGAGCCAAGGCCCGCATCCTCAGCCTCCAATTTCCGGTTTTTGGGGTCCTCTGAAATGGGACCTCTGATAAATTCATCGATCAGGGCCAGCAGAATTGCTTTCTGGTCGCATCATTACAATCATAAGCCTAGCTTGGGGTCGGCCTGAACTGAAACGAGATTTTTCAAATGTACCCGGACATACCGCAATTTTTTACCTCATGCTGACTAAAGGGGCATTGGGGTCGCACTCCTTAGGATAGCATCAGAAATTCCTCAAAAAGAGGACACATCTTCCTCCATCATGGCCCCGGAACCGAACGGGTGGGGGCCTCTCGGGTCCCAAAGTCTAATGTACACGGCCCGTAAAAAATCCCAGTCGGAACACTACCTCCCCTACAGGCCCCCTAAGGGTAATGATAGGAGAGAGACCATACCTTCCCAAGTTGATCTTTTCGACTTTGGAGAGACTCCTCGTCCAGCTGTGCATGCTGTGGTTGAAAAAGGGATTCATCTTTGAAAAAAGAAAGAGAAAAAAAAAAAGCTAAAAAGTGCCTTTTTTGGCTCGATTTTCGAGAGAATGAATGAAATAAAAAAAAAGCTGAAAAATAAGTTTTTATAGTGAAAAACGCGCCCGGAGGCAGCTGCCCCCGCTGGAGTCGGCGACAGCGGCCGCCAGACCCGGCGGCAGCGTCCGTCGGCACCGGCAGCGGGCAGCGGGGGCCCGCGACTCTGGAGTGCGACGTCGCGCTTGTGTTTTTGGAGGGGGGGAACTACCGGCAGGCGAACGTCCGCGATGGTTGGGGACTGACGTCCGCCGACGCCGGCGCCAGCGTTCGCCGAACTCCGGCGGCAGCGGCCGCCAGAGGCGGCGGCCACCGCAAAAAAAAAATTATATATATATATGTTGACGCGTAATTTTATGCCTCCACCTGACCCGATGATGATATGAGGACATGGGATAAGGTATCACGATAAACCAGAAGTGTTTGAACCAAAAATTGAACCAAACCGCCCAAAGGAGTCTGATCCGTGTTAGGGCTGCGTCACGCAGCTAATACCTGCGTGACGGCACTCTTAGATGCGTCACGCAGCTCTAACAGGACTGACACCTCTGGCGTGCTGGATGCGTCACGCAGCTCTAAGCAGGACTGACACCTCTGGCGTGCGCACCGGTGCACGGCCCTGCACTGTTTGTATGTGCATCGCTGGAAACTGTAGCGGAAAAGTAAAAGTCGCGGTTCACGGCTTCTTTTTAGGCTCGTGCACGGCAGCTTCTACCGGCTCGCTGTGACGCGACTGCTCTTGTTGCCCTTAGCCATGGATAAAAATTACAGACATTTGTCAGACAGAAAAGGGACTTTTTGCAATTTTATCTCATTTTTTCTCTAAAAATCTTAAGCTAAAAATTAAGTTTTTACGACTAAAACGGCTAGGTTTTCTTCCCCCAAGAGCTCCAGTGAGTAAACTTGAGGAAGATCAACATTAACCATTTAGTTTTTGGAATCAAGAAATATAATAAAAATATAAGAAAGAGAAAAAAAAAGAGAGAAACACTTTGGTTCCGTGGAAAGTTGGATCGGAAAGACCCATTGCACTTTCTGGGGTCGTGAAAACAACATCTCTTAAATCAAATCCCAGTGTAATGCAATTGCCTCCAAATATGAGGGCTAAAGGTAACGATTTCTAAATTTTCTTTCCTCATTTCTAGTATTTTTTATCTTTAAAACTCTCATTAATTCACATATTGTTTAATTGATTTGCCATTCGATAAAACGTAAGTTTGCCTATTGTTGCACCTTTTCTAGGTTTTATTCCTAATTCAACTTTGGGACAAAATAAGCAACGTAAAAGAGGTAGTTTTGAAAGGTAGTGGGTGCGGACCGGAGTGCTAGTCGCGTATACGCAGCTAACTACCTGCTTGACGCGGCCTGTTCATTGTCCAATGGATAGTCCTTCATTTGGACTGGACCACTGCGTGACGCAGCTGTTTATACATACTCAGTATGTCATTTTATTATTCTCATATTTGTATTTTTTAAACGTGAATATCTTGAATAATTGATCAATAACCCTGAGGATCTAGAATAATCACAAACAGTTCCGTCACGTAGGTAGGAGTTTCCGTCAACGCGACCTGTTCTTCATAGAACCCGCGTGACGCAGAGTTGTTTCTAAGTTCACAGCAACGAATGGATAGAAGTTCAAGTCACGCGACTGTTCTTTCATAGAACAGCTCTGCGTGACGCAACTGTTACCAAGCTTTCCAGAATAAAAGACAAGAGCCGGCGCCATGTCGCGACTTATTCTTTTCCATAGAACGCTGCGTGACGTTCTTGGGGAGGACGCCCTCCCCCGAAACATCAAATGCAATATGAATGGGGCATGTTGACTAAGGATAGAAATGCAACGGGTGAAATGTGTGAAGTCGCCACCCGTTGTTTAATTTAATTTTTAGGGCTAAACTTAGGCAAAAAACCCTAAGTGACTTCCAAATTTTAATTAACCTAATTACTAGATTAATTTATCCCGAATGTT